CTCCTTTGTTTACTGACGTCACAATGGTGGTTGTTTTAGTCTCCTATTGTTAGGCTAAAATCCACATCAAAAAGGTTTTCCATTAAATGCGTTTGCTAGCTTGTGAACAGGTAGACTGGGTGTATTACAAAGCAAGGGAACTACATCTATTAATAGGACAAACACAATTTCTGTTAATTGCTCTTATAACAACGTTATTAAATAATTCCGTGTTATTTCACGACGTCTCATATAATATACTTGCATTAAGAGAATACAGCAAGGACACGAAAGTGTCCTCTGTACACATTATAAAAGATTTATGATTCAGAGCGCGTTTCAGGAGTGTTTATCGCCCGTGCGCATCGGACCAGATAATATAATTTCCCACCACTTGTTTGTTTGTTTCAATTTTTCCGTATGTCTAATACAGCCTTCTGGGAGGTAAAAAGATTACTAAACTATTAGTAGTCCTTGATTGAAACAATTGTTTCGTCAACCGCGAGCCATTCGATGACAGTAATAACAATTGGTCAGTTTTAGGTCATAGCTCACTATAGTAAATTACAGTAGCGGCTCGTCGGAAGGGTCAAGGTAGGCTGTGCCCACCCTAAATAACAACAATAACAGCAGTATTAATTGTATTAAATTTTTAATTTTTTTAAAATTCAGTTTAAAATTTTCATCTCCATCTTTTGCTACAAATCATGGGCCATACATTCGAAGTGTATACATGCACTCGCACTCTATTTAATAGAAACTGCAAGCGTAGATCGTGTACCAGTCGAATAAGCCGAATATACGGGGTGATCGGCGTACATCTATTTTCCGCCAGTTTATTTAAAACATCAGATGAAGACTCTTAACTTTTCGATAAAATTAGTGTTGATTGAAATATTTTACTTTTTGGCCCATCTGTTCCGAGAACTAACAAATAAATTACTACGCGTCCCAGCGTTTGTTACAGTATTTCATTTATTAAACAGGGCGATATATTTATAGACAGGCTCCCTGGTATTCAAACCCATCGGTACTGAAAATATTTCGACTCTATTTGTCCGTTATTGAATAATTTCATTGATTGCAGTTCGCTGTTGCTGTCCGTCAATCGGAATTGTTTTCGTTCCGGTTAATGTAGACTGTTATTAGCCTCTCCATACAACATTAGAGGTGTCTGACTTTACTCGATTATTCGATGGCCAACAATAGAGGTTACTTGCTCATATGTTTATTATAAGAACCATTTAAATGTATGCAAGTTTTTAATGTCATACAAGAACTATTTTATTAAGATATTCCATAGACAGGGTGGACATCGATCGTTATGAAATTTTTATATTAATACATTGTAAATAAACCTAACCTCAAAAAGTTATGTCACCGAGAGAGATAGCAGCTAGGGACTTTTAGCAGATGAACAAAAACAACAGTGGCATATTTAGCACATTCAGACTTTTATTTTCTATGCAATACTTCCTTTTTTAGGAAATATACGGCTAAATTATGTATTTAAAAACTCCACAAAAGGACAATAGACCTATGGCTCATGGAAAATATGTATGGATATATGGATGTTGAGAGAAATTTCCAGAATTGATTTTTCTAATGAAACTGAAAATAACGTCCTTTCTAAAACAATTCCTAACTATGCAAATATTAGATACGAATAGTTTTTGATACATTACTAAGGAATCATTAGATAACTCAAAATTATTACAGTTCTATCATAGTAGCTACCACATTTTATGAAGGTTTGATAGGTTTCAACAAAGGTTTTGAGGTCTATCTCCAGATTTTTGTGTAATTTGTAAAAAAACATAGTTTCACTTTTAGTTTTTAAAGTGCAACATCATTGTTACACCCTGCCCTATACTATGTAATTAGAGTTTGTATTACTCGCAAATAAACACTGAATGTTCTCTTAAAGAAATGATTGCAAATACTCTTTAGTTCAGGGGAACTAATGTAGCTTCAATGACCAATATATAGTTTGTAAGAGCCCATAAATTTCCGATGAAAAGTGTTATGCTTAAATTGAGGTATAACGCTTATAAAACTTCCATTTATCACGATTTATCCGCTGTGTGATACGATTTTCTTTACCATTTAAAAAGAAGAATGGCCCGTTGTACACACTGACTTCTTCACTTATTCATTCAAGTTATAGAATTGCTGTAGCACATACATACACTATAAACTTACTTAAAGAATAATTTTATTTTAACAATTATACAGATTACCCAAAAAATTAAATCGAAAAATATTGTTTTTTAGTAAAGAATAAAATAAGCAAAGTAAAGACACCAAAATTGATACATTGATAAATTTTTAAATTACCTTTTCATTGATTTATGATTTATGTAAATGCAACAGGTAATACCTTTTAAATAGAGAAAAAAAGAAGAGAGCTAATAAATAGGACATACGCTTTCTATAAAAGAGAGCAGAGAAGACAACGGAAAAGAGAAAACAAATAATTACAATAGAAAAGCATTTCCTATTGATCTATTAATACAGGGTGATCTATTAACGGTACGGAGCAGTTGTATATAGACATGCTACGATTATGGGATAAAAAATCTATTAACAAATATGGCCAAACGAAATTGATTTAAAATATTTTCAAGTTTGGAACTTCACCATTAGGGGGCACAACTGCTACAGTATTCCGGAAAATTGTCGTTGTTTCGAAATTTCGCTTATATAACTAAGTTGAAAATACACATTTTAGGTACACTGTTAACCCCTTCACAAGTTTTGTTTGAACTTTTTTTTGTTATTACCATAGCAACGTCAGTATGAAGGACGCTATCTTGAAATTTTTAAATTGTCATAACTTCCAAATGCCTTAATCGATTTCAATCGTTTACTAAAAAAAATAAATGCAACGATATAGGTTTAGGCATAGCCGGCCGGGTTGATCAGAAATTGTATTAGAATTGTAAAACATATGCATTTGATGGTTTTTCTAAGAATATTGACATTAGCAGTTGGAAAATAAAAAGTTTCATTTTGCCTGGAAATGAAAATAGTAACAACAGAGACCTACAGTCAATATTGTTAAATTACATAAAAAATGATGGAATCTTGAATCTAAAACGCAATAAATTCAGCCCCGATAGGGGTGTACATTATCATTTTTGACAGTTAAGAATAACAAAAATTTTATTTGATTCGATTCTAAAACTAAACAATGAATCTCATAAATAGGACACCAAGTTAATGATCCATATACTTTAAAGTGTTAATATTGGAGAATGACCTAAAATTTTTTATAATGAAACATTTTATGGGATATTTTTGCTACATTTGGATAGGCTCCGAAAAAATTAATTTTGAGTTAAACACAGAACCCAAATCCCTCATTAAACAACCTGTTTGGTAAATAGTATCGCTTAAAGAATAATTAAATATAATTGACATGTTTTTCATGAATAACTTACGACTTTACATTTAGCTATGTTTTAGCTTCACACCACTCTTCAATCAATTTGAGATTGCAAAAACTCACATTTAATTTAGTTAATTACATTTAATAACTTTTGTAAAGTCATTAGTAAATATCAAAAATAAGAGGGGTCTAAGATTAGACCCTAGGGGAACACCTAATTCAGCTGCAAATAGCTCAGGTTTTAACCTATTATTGGTAACATAATAAAGTCGACGTTTCATATAAATTTTAGATTATCAGATAATCCAAATTATGCTAATCTATATATTATACACCTTGAAATTTTCGTTTTATTTTCTATTAGAAATGACATTTAAGGATGGTTCTTGAGTGTTATTTACATACTTGTTTACATATTTTTCTGAGAAGTTTTTCTGTTTATTGTCTTTTTTGTTCACAATTGTATTTTCTATTTGTGTTTTAATTATGTTAATGTAAATTGTGTCTGTTTTTTTTAATCTGTATTATACCTGCCTTATAATTGGGCTCCAGTCTGTCTTAGTAGTTGATTCTAACTAAATTAGGGCTTCCCGATACGATACGATACCGATATTTTTGTAAATTATCGATATCGTATTGAATCATGATTGAATTTATCGTCTTGTATTGATATCGACAATATTATTTTTGTAATATTATCGTATCGATATTTTTTTCAATACGATATCGATACGATATTCAATATTTATTGATATAAAATAGTTGAAATTTATTTTTTTACTAGAAAAATTGCACTAAATTTGAAATTTTTACGTAAAAAATATTAAAATTATAACAAATTCGAAAGTATAACATTTTTATTAATTTATTTACTTAATTTGAACGAACATACAAGCTTAGATATAATATGAAAAAAGTAAAATTATCTATACAATATTTTATGGAGACAAAAAAATTAATTTTACGCTACATATTTCTTTTTCAAGGGACTTCTCATCCACCTATTGATTAAAATTAGAGCCTGAGCACTTTCATCCTTTAAAGAGCACCTATTTTTAGTTATAACTAAACCTGCTTCTCAGAATAGTCTCGCTACAGGCACCGAAGTTGCAGGCAAACACAGAATATCTCCTGCCATGAGCGATAATATTGGATACGCGTGATTGAAATTTCTCCACCATACTAAAACATCAGTTTCTGCTCCTGATCTTGGAGAGTCCAAATATTGAATTATCTCTTTTTCCCACGTCAAAGAAACTTCTGGTTTTACAAATAGTATATTAAAATCCATTTCATCATTATCATCATCGCGCTATTGCTTTTTTCGTGAAGATTCGACGAGAATTTGTTTACAAATACCTATATATGTTTTATATATTTTTGTGCGATCCGCGCTTTTGTCGATATTATTGACAACACATTATTGACGATACAATAATTATCGTAAATAATTGAAAAGTTAATCTCTTGCAAATATTTTCAAGGAGAGTATTGTACCGATACCGTATCGAAAATCGAAACCATATCGATATTTTTATCGCATATCGGGAAGCCCTAAACTAAATAAATAAATAAATAAATATTTTATCACATCAAATACATTTTTTTACCATAGTCTATTTTGTTGCAGAGAGAAAGCTGTTCGTGGGCATGCTGAGCAAGAAACTGTGCGAGAACGACGTCCGCGCGCTTTTCGCCGGCCACGGCGTCATCGAGGAGTGCACCGTGTTGAGGGACGCTACGGGCAATTCCCGGGGATGCGCGTTCGTCACGTTCTCCTCCAAGCAGTCGGCGCTGATGGCCATCAAGAACCTGCACCAGTCGCAGACCATGGAGGGGTGTTCGGCGCCGCTGGTCGTCAAGTTCGCCGACACCCAGAAGGAGAAGGAGCTCAAGCGGCAGCAGCAGATGCAGGCCAACGTGTGGAACGCGCTGGCCGCCCCCGCGCTCAGCTCGCCGCCTCAGCAGTACTCGCCCGTGCTGCCCACCGAGGCCACCTCGCTGCAGCTGCTGCAGGCGATGGGCGGCTCGGCGCTGCTGCAGCAGCAGCTGCTCACCGGCACAGAGAACCTGCTGGCGCCCATCGGCGTGCAGAACCTCGTGACGCTGGCGGCCATGTCGCAGCCTACGGCGGCCGCCACGGCGCCCCTCTGCATGGCCAACCTGCTGGGGAAAGGCGCGGGGGTAGAGAGGACGCTCACGGCGGCGGCGGCAGCGGGCCTCCAGCCTGGCTTGTCCACGCCGGACCTCTCCACCTACGGTTCGCTCATCACTAACGCCACCATCAATGCTGCTGCGATAGCCGCCGCCGGCAAGCAAGTCGAGGGTGAGTAGGATCTTATTTATACCATTTATATGGATTACTACTTTCTATATTTCTATATTGTCTGAAAATATTTATATTTATAAAAATCTCCTCTAAAACTTCAAAAACTGCAATACAAACGGGTATTCGTGGGACTCACAATCAGTGCATATTTTGAGCAATCAACCACTCCTAAAAACCTATGAATTTTGATTTGTAGCCTACCTATTAAATAAACTGCCCTACAATAACTGACCCACACCCAACAACTGGTGGCAATGACAGAAAAATGACGTTTTACACATCCCTAAAGCCAGACAAAAGTTTCTAAACAGCTAAGGTTGCCTGGTTTCCTACTACGAATAATAACTGCCCAATCACCAACTGATAGGAATGCCTATCAAATATATGATCGTATTTCAACATTTGTTCTAATTCTGTTGGATAAATGAATAATAATGCAGATTGCTGCCAACTATCAAGTAAGTTTTATCTCTCAGCAATTTCACTCCAACAAAGTTCAACGGCTGCAATCACAAAACATATAATACAGCTGCAACCTTCAAAATAAGAAGGGTAGAATTGTGTGCAAAATTGACAAAGTACGGATGTGTTATATCGAGTGAAATGGCTAGTACATCCAGCTCGTATGAAAGAAAGAGATGCAAAAGTTACTTCACCCCTTACCTCTCTGGTCCGAAAACTTGAAATCAGGTAACCTTAGAAACCTTGGAGCCAGACAAGCAATACTTATTCACTTGTTTTGGGCTAAACCCATCCATCTCGCCTTCCCCTGCCCATGTCCAACTATTATGACAATCGGTGATGTCACAAAAATTACTCTACACATCCCTATACCAGACACGCAATATTCAGTTGATTTTTAGTCCAATCAATAGGTAGAAGAGCTTACAAAAAATACCACTTGGAAAACAAAAAGTATAGTGATATAGGAAAAAAAATTCTAAGAAAGATAGTGTTTTTTTCATGTGGCGCATAAACGGCGAAGTTAACCTAAAAAATTCATAAAAGTAAAAAAAGTTTTTCGCTAATAAAAAATCGAATCGAAGAAAGTTAAATGAGAATGTTGTAGCTATTAAAAAAACCTATCGATTTGTATTTTTGAATATATCGATTGATATATTACTTTTAGAGATATATCGAAAAGACCGTCAAAAATCGACTTTTTTTGTTTTTGCTATATCTCTTGCATATTTAAGGTTTTGAAACTTGTTTTTTAATTAAAAAATATTAAAAATTTGTTGAGTTTCTTATATCGATTTTTCGAAAAAAAAATCATCTAGAAAATCGGCTCTTTTTGCTCGACGAATAGTCGTAGTGAAACGAATTAGGGCTCATTTTTTTTTCCTTAAGAGTTGTACTTTCATGGTAAAAAAGAGTGATAACGATTTTATTCATTTCAAGTGTCCAAAAATGATTTTTCTTGAATATCTTTTTCGAGTTTAATTTCTCGATAATGTCTATTACAGGATTATTAAAATGTTAACAAGAGGTGAAAGAATGTTAGACTAAAGGAGAATTACATTTTTCAAAGCTAATTATGCTTTTGAGACTGTCGTAAACATTACATTTTGTTTTATCTCGTCAAGCTACCCCAAATTAAGTACAAAAGAATTTTTGTACGTGGCCCAGAAGTCGAGATAATGAAGATTTTGAAAGTAAGAGCGATTTTGAACACCCGAATTAAGTTTTCGGAGCGACCGAGTAGCGTTACCCCCACTCCGCCGCCCGCTACAGTTAGCTCGCGCCGCGCTCGAATACTTCGGGTTTGACGCACAATTAAAAAAGCTTCTGGAATTTTTTGAAAAAATAAATTATCTCGACTCGATAAGATTGTAAGGCAAGGTTAAAGTTAAAGGTTAAATTCGCGTAAAAATGCCAGCAATCGATTCCTGTAATAAACATTATCGCGAAATGAAAATCGAAAAAGATATTCAAGAAAAACGTGACCGAAAAATTGTTACTCTTTTCAGTCATTTTTGGACACTTGAACAAAATCATTACCTATTACTTTTTTTTTAAATAAAAGTACAACTTTTAAGGGAAAAAATGAGCCCTGATTCGTTTCTCTACGACTATTCGTCGAGCAAGAAGAGCCGATTTTCGATATGGCCTTTTTTTCGAAAAATTGATATAAATCGAAAAATTTTTTATATTTTTTAATTTAAAAAAAGGCACATTTTTTACTTGCCGAGAGCTATATCTACAGCAAGTAACAAGTTTCAAAACCTTAATTTGCAAGAGACAGCAAAAACAAAAAAAGTCGATTTTTGACGGTTTTTTGCTTGTGGAATTTTTGGAAAAAAATATATCGACTGTATGAGGTTGTAGAGCAACATTTTTTTTTAAATTCGCGTAAAAATGCCAGCAATCGATTCTGTAATAGACATTATCGATAAATAAAAATCGAAAAAGGTATTCAAGAAGAACGCGACCAAAAAATGTTTTTTCAAAGTCATTTTTGGACACTTGAAAGGAATAAAGCCGTTATCACTCTTTTTTACCGTGAAAGTACAACTCTTAAGGAAAAAATGAGCCCTGATTCGTTTCTCTACGACTATTCGTCAAGCAAGAAGAGCCGATTTTCGAGTTGACCTTTTTTTCGATAAATAACTCGAAAAATTTTTAATATTTTTTTATTTAAAAAAATACACTTTTTGCTTGCCAACGCTACATTTACAGCAAGTAACAAGTTTCAAAACCTTAATTTGCAAGAGATACAGCAAAAACAAAAAAAGTCGATTTTTAACGGTTTTTTTCGATATATCTCGAGAAGTAATGTAGCAATCGATATATTGAAAAATACGAGTCGATAGGTTTTTTTAATAGCCACAACTTCCTCTTTTAACTTTTTTCGACTGGAGTTCATTTCTTTATTAGGGAAACACCAGTGTTTTTACTTTTATGAATTTTTTAGGTTAACTTCGCCGTTTATGCGCCACAGGAAAAAAAACACTATCTTTTTTTGAATTTTTGTTCCTATATCACTATATTTTTTGTTTCCAGGTGGGTATTTTTTGTAAATTTAACATTAGGCACAGATTGATTTGACTATTTGTCCCAAAGTTTCCCTGTCCGAGCCTCAATTGCTCCTATTACAGTTTGAGCTTCCATGTCTTAGCTTCAGTTTGAGTTTCCCTGTCCAAGCTTCAGCTTGGGTTTACCTGATTGAACTTCAGAGTGAGTTTGCTGTCGCTGCTTCAGCCTGGTTTTGGTGGTTCAGTTAGAGCTTCCTTGTCCAAGGTTCAGAATTAGTTTGCTTCTAGTTCAGTTTGAGTTTTTCTGACCATGGTTTAACTACACTCTACTCCGTTATTCAGGTTGAGCTTGCCTATCCGATTTTATGTTTATCTGAGCCACAGTTTGAGTTTTCTGGCATTCCTGCCTGTCACAATGATTGGATGGACAATTATGGGGATGGGTATGGGCAGATGGGCGTTGAATCCGTTTGGCCCAAAATCAATGGAATAGTGCTTGTCTGGCCCTAGGGATGTGTAAAAAGGCATTTTTCTGCCATTACTACTTATCATAGTAGTTCAATGGGGGTCGGTTATTGGGGGGTATGTAGGACAGTGGACAGTGGGGTGTGGATCCGTTTGGGCTAAAATCGATTGAATCATGCACTTTTTATATCTTTCCGGATTTAATGACCCTCCTCGTTTGTTTTGAGTTTTTAACTTAAATCCCCCGAATGCGATGAATAAATTTTAACTGATTTTTACATTTTAGGAGTGATTTTTGTGGTTTTCACTAAAAACAAGGGTTAATTGGGTTCTTAAATAAAATATTCAACGAACTCCACAAATGTGGTTAGTCGAATCGTATCAGAGATACACCCATTGAACGCAGTTTTAGGTTTTAGAAGTGGTATTAGACATTTAAAAAAAATTTAATGGCTGTGGAGCATTTTCCATGCAAGATAGATTTGGTTTCTGCGGGACCAAATACATACTTGGGCGTGGGTCTCATTCGCGGAGCGGACAACTTTTTTGCGTGCCTGTGTTATTCAATCAAAAAATTCCTGACTGTGTCGAATCGCAGATAAATATCGACGAAAACGGGAGCAGGTGGTAAAGCGTGAGTTTCTCACGTCGCGGGTCGCCTATTTCTGTTCATTCACAAATATAAAAATGAAATCATAACTCGGTGCAGTCAATTTGGTACAGATTAATGTATTTTGACAGAATATGTCTATAAGATGTTGTGCAAATAGCTTGTAATTTTTCAATTAGGCCGTTGGCGGTCTGCCAAGATATGCGGAGCCACTTCGCGGACCGTATATTTCATTTTCCCGAGCCCAGTCGGTACAGACGGACGCACACACAAGGGCCACTTGTTCCACTCCCGGCTTCTGTTTTAATCGACGATTTATATCTGTTCGGGTTAATTATAAACTGGCTTATTACTGACGGCCGTTTCGGTTGGTATTTAAGGCAAAATCCCATTCGAAAATAGCAGTGTCACGGCGGGGTAACAATAAAATAATTACGTAAATTTAGGAAAATGTGGTATGTGTTATAGTGCAGGTGTAGTTTGACACTATTAAAGACAAAATAAAAATCCATTGAGTCTATTAATTGTTTTTTTTATTATTTTGTATAAATGTCAAAATATCCGCATAACTATGAAGAGGTAAATTAAGTTTTTGATTTACAGGGTGATTCTTTTATTAGGGTAAATGCATTATTGTTAAAATCGGCTGAAAATAATTAAATTCAGAAACTGGTGCTCTATTTTCGGGAACTGTCACTCAGACGTAGGACAAAAAAAATATTTATGAGGAGATGCTCTATTTTTAGCAGTTTTTAGTCTTTCATTTGTTTCCGAAATATTAACAGTTAGGAATCATATTTGTCCAGTCACTGAAGGCGAAAATAAAGTAAAAGCTCCCAATTTTTCCGGAGATCATGGATTTTCCTGAAAATTTGCATACAAGCTGATCTGACCCCTCACTTCAAAAGTTATATTGTCTAGATGTGTGCTTTTTTCTATTTAGGGGT